TAATGATGTTATTCTATCCATTTGGACTTCTATTGAAAAAAATGTCATAAATGAAACTTTAATTAACTAATAATGTCCCAGTTTTTTAACAGAAGGCTGGGTCATTTTGGAGAGCCAAAAGTTCGATTTGGTTTGCTTGGTAGCTGAGAAATTTCAAAAATATGTGAACTTGGATTTGATTTTTGTCATGCCTGTTGTTTTTGATATATTGATAACTCCAGAGCACAGTTTGTAGAGGAGTGCAGGTTTCTGGGTTTAACTAATGACCTGAAATGGGACAAAAACACAAGTCAGGTCGTTTGTTTTTCTGCGGAAACGTAGAGAATTCACCTCAAACTCTAAGATTCTGCTGCACCGTTGAAAGTTTGCTTCTTGGATCTGTGACTGTGTGGTTTGAAGACGTCACAGCCAAAGAAAGGAGAGCTTTAAACAACTGTGAGACCAGAGAGAGACCAGAGAGAGAGAGAGACCCGAGAGAGAGACCAGAGAGAGACCAGCGAGAGACTAGAGAGAGAGAGAGGCCAAAGAGACCGGAGAGAGACACCAGAGTGAGACCAGAGAGAGAGCAGAGAGAGCATAGATAGACCAGAGAGAGAACAGAGAGAGAAAGAGAGACCAGAGAGAGACCACAGAGACCAGAGAGAGACCATTGAGAGACCAGAGAGAGAGAGAGACCAGAGAGAGAGAGGCCAGAGAGAGAGCAGAGAGACCATAGATAGACCAGAGAGAGACCAGAGCGAGAGAGAGACCAGAGAGAGACCAGAGAGGGGTCCTTCACTCTGAAAGAGGACTGTGAGCTGCGTGTTCTCAAAGTGTGTAATAAATCCTTTAATTGAGCTCATTGAATAATCAACGACTCTTCTGGCCACTCTGGAGAAGCCATGTTTCAGCTTCTTCCCTTTGACAGAAGACATCGTTCGCTGTCATGCAAGACCCTTGGATATGCTAACAGCTTCTTTCCACAAGCTTTACTGATCTTGCACTTGTTAATTAAAATGTTTTTGTTGATTTTTTTCACAGTGACAATTGTTTCTTGTAACCTGTTAGCTTGTTTTATGGATATAGGGTTCTGGGGGTCCTTTGCAAATGTATCCCAATGTTGTCGTTGAATCTGAAAATGCATTGAATAAGGTGAAATATATTTGTTCTATGCATATTTTTACAGTTTAATCAATATTGTGATCTAACATGGTTCAAATCAAGGTCATTGAAACAGTTGTGATATTTTGATTTTTATTGATAAATGTACTAAAAATGTCTGACACGGGGAGAACATGCTAACTTTGCAAATGATAGCATGTAACCTTATCACACAAACCTAGTACATAGTTGTTGAGAAACCAAGAATTATGTACCATGAAGTTTGTTAGAATTTATTTCAAACCTTTGGAAAAAACACGACATTGAGTTTCACAAAGTTTCACAAAATCCATATTTCATACAATTACTTTATTACATTTGTAAAGTGACACTGTGTGGTCGCAAACTCATCAGAACTGTGTGTAAAAAGTAAAAAATAATCCATCACCACAACAATTTTAAACAATTCAAAACGGGGGAATGTTTACGTTTTTTATGTTTTTTTTCTTGCGTTCAAAATGTTTCAACCGCAAGCAGAGATAAGGTGCCTCATATGTGCTAAAAGTTACTAGGCCTCAACAAACAAATCACAATGTCTTTTCTTTGTACAAAATAATACATTTTTACAACAATATATAAAAAAAGCTTATGATATCCCAATTTTATAGACATTAACATTTGTCTTGATATTATACATACAGAGAAATATGGCCCGCTATATTCAATACTGCGACTTGCTACCAGTCAAATAATCTAATATTAGCTTTGAATGAGAACCACATGTGGCAAAGTTACACAGTGCTGAGTTAAAATGGCAATAATGACCAATACCATGTAACCCAAGACAAAAACACTTCATATATTTCTTAGCTTCAATGCCCATCGGTATAATACTACAGTATGTACATTTACGGATAACACGGTAAACTACTTTTCGCGATTAGCTCAACACAAATACTTCAATTACAGATGTCTTTGTAAACATTATGACCTATATACAATTCCAAGCAGCAATAACACCGTGAGAAGTTAGAGAAAGTTCTCGTTTTTTTGTGTTTGTGGCCTTTTCCGGGGTTCCGTACCTAGCATTAGGAATTCAAAGGTTTTTATTTTTTTTATTTTGCATCTTCGTTTAATTAACATTCCTGTGAATGCGTGACCGCCCCCCGTGCACCGCGGCGCTTTGAAAGCGCAGCTAACAAGCTCTGTCATTACCGTGCGCCAAAACCGGCAACTCACACACGGGAAGAGAGCGCGCGCATCAAGGCATATCCGCTCCCAAATAAAACATATAATCAAGAGTACAAACCTGTGCTAATGCTAATGTGCGAAATGATATGCTTCTTTACTGAGCCTGCAATTGATACCTGAGTGCCGTGCCTTTAAAACTGCGATGGGTTCAGATTGACAAGAAAAAAACTTTGTAGTACGAAAGATTAAGATGAAGAGATCCTTTATTAGTCCCACAGTGGGGAAAGGCTGCTCAGGCAACGCTATACAGCAAATGATGACCACAATACCATAAATTATTCAAATATGGGCATATATGAATGATTGTGATTGCTCCCATTGGTATAACTCAATAAAATATTTTTCCTTCATAATATGTCTGCTTAAAGGGGACATAGCTTTGTCCATCCTTATACAGTCTATGGCTAACAGTTTTGCAACGATTCCCTTTGGTTTCTATTCACTAACATTGAAAAGTAGCCTCCTCTAGCTATGTAACTGTGTCAAACTCAACATTTTGGATGTGTTTATGCTGTGATCCTGGTGTTATTACTATAACAATGTCTTTCAAAAACCAGCTTTGAGCCTGACACAATTTTCCTTGTGGATCAATAAAGGCTATCTACGTCTAAGTCTGAATTAGGGGTCCAGATTTACCCCGAAATGTATCCGCAAATTCGACTACAGCTCGCAAACAAAGAGTGAAGGAAGAGCCGATGGTGCTCCTGATTGGCTCTTTGGTTGCTAGGTCGTTGCTACCCATAAAATCCAGCTTCTCTTGAGTAAATTGGCTTCTTTCCCAATATGGCAAACACTATGGGGTGATGTCAGCACGAGGTTAGTCCACCCGACCTCTCCAGTTTTTGCTCATCTACACATTCAAAGTTGTTTTTTGAGAGGATCATGCTTGTTCGAGTCATTGATATCGTCTGTTCTGAATCTGGGATAAGATCTTTTGTAGCCGTTCGCCATCATTTGACTGAATCGCTTTTGACTAATATTGAGATTTCAAATGAACCACAATCTGTATATAATAATGAGCCACAGGTGTCATAGAATCTCCCTATATAGCAGACAGAACCATGGCAGAGCTAGGGTATCTAACTTTCAATTTTTGATCACAAAAACATAATATTGATGTAATAAACTAAACCAGTTTCCACATGGTATATGTATTGTATGTATTTTTTGGCCTGTGATCTTTGTCAGACAGAAAAGTTCAAATCGGGGCTCTATCTAAGAATAGATAGACTTTTATACGTATTCGTAGAAAAGAAAAGTTAAGTGCCTCAGCTCCTTCGATTGGTGATGATAACTATAATACTGTTTGATAAATTACCGGTTTATAGTCCTCTCAAACATATCATTTGTGTCTTAGGGGATTTTTTCATTTTTATGAAGTTGTCAAAACACATGGACCCATCTCTTCAGGCTCTTCGCCGCTGTAAAACCTCAACAAGACTCTTTAGACAGCTTTTGACACAATCATGCTAAGATTACAGCTTTTACGCACTCACACACTCACACAAGATGTCTCTGCCATTATGTTGTTTTTCTTTACATTTCAAAGCATGTAGTCAATGACCCTTTTAAGCAAACACAGGAAATTATCTTCGCTCTCTGTTAGGGCTGCACGAAAAATTGCCGTCAAATTGACCTCGCCGTTTGCACAGTCAGGAAATGGTTGAAGTTTGTTGCAAACAAAATAGGGAGAGAAAAAGCTTAAGTATAGAAAAATGTCTATTGATTGGAAGTTATTTTGAAAATGTGTTTTATGGGAAAAGCAAGTATCTTTAGTCTTGTTGTCGGGCATTATTTTCATTATTATTCATTACAACGATATCAGTATTTTCTCATTCCAAACGAGACATATCAACTTCTTATAATTTAAAACTGCCAAAATGTGTTTAGTGAGAAAGTATCCTACGTCTACGACAACTTTAATCAATAATTTGCTGTGAATATTAAAAAAACATGGCTGCTCTACAGGTTCGGCCTCACTGAACATTTTCTGAGAGTACACTGTAAAAAGTGATGAAAAGTAAGTTAAAAATGCTAAATTTTGGCAAAATTTAGCATAATTTAAGCAGATTTTGACTGGCCTAAAAAATCTATTGTCTCCCTTGGTATGGGAAAAAAATTAACAATATTTCTTGAATTAAGACTGAACAGCTTGTGTCATTGGCAAATATTGTTCTAAGACGGTCATGAATTAACTCAAATTCAAGTAAAAACACTTGATTAACCCATTTATTACCACATAATTTATCACTTTTTTGGAGGGCAGGATTTGTGTTTGAGGTCATTGCTTCATGTTTATGCTTTTTTCGAACTGAAGTTGTTATTGTTACTCTGAACCAAAAAGACGTTTTAAACATACAGGACATCGACAATCTCATCGCAAACTCCAAAAATTGGTCCGAATCGTGCAGCCCTACTCGCTGCTAAGACACAAGAAACCTCTGAACGGTGAGAAGAAAGAAGGCCATTACTTTTTTTTCTTCTTTTTTTAACATTCCTGGTTGGTGTGGTCAACAGCTCGTGCTTTCCGACGCATCAAAGTCATCAAGTCCGGTCAATGTTCCGGCTCGCTTCACAGTCAGGAGGCAAAACAACTGGCAGTGTCTTAATTCATCCTGAGACTCCTTCAACATTGCTCCCGTTTTCCCACATCGGTGATAGTTTTTGGGTCACATCACCGTCTCTCTCTCTTCTTCTACCAGCACGGCGGGCTTCTCCGGTTCGCTGGGCCGTGGTTGTTGCTGCTGCTGTTTCTGATCTTCCTCTGGGATGTGCAGCTCGTGTCCCGACGAAGGTCCAGAGTTTTCGGACACGGAGCCGTTCTTGACGTATCCCGGCAGGTTGCGGTGGCCGTTGACTGGCAGGGGCCCCAGTTTGGTGGTGAGGTGCAGAGCCAGGGGTCCGCGGCCGGTGACGTTGGTGACGCTGGTGTGGGAGACCATGGGGCCGTAGCTGTACGTGTTGCTGCCGCTGCGGGCTTTGCGTTTGAAGTCCAGCGCCAGAGTCCTGCGGCTCCACGACTTCTTGATCTCGGCTTGGACCTGACAGAGAGAAAATAACTCGATTCAATTCAATTTATTATTTTTATTTTTGTATTTTACTGGGCCCTGATTCTATCCAGGCAGAGTTAGTACTAAAGCGGTCAAACTGACAGAGATTGGAGTGATTTGGTTCTTCTATACCAGGCAATAGTAAGATAGCGATAAATGGTTGATCTGGGTTGGTCACAGATGGGTGTCCGTTACCCAAAACATACTCCTCAAGAAGATCAAAGTTTAAGAGTGTCCCTGACCTCCAGACCATTGAAAATGTGTGCAAAGCTGAACAAGCAAGAAGTGTAGAGGCAAGAAGCCCCCAAAACCTGACTCAGTTACTCAGATCTATTAGGAGGACAGAAATCTTGCCCCATTGTACTGTTAGAAGTGTGTGAAGGGCGACCTAAAAACATTTTGGCCCAAGTTTAACAGTTTAAAGACAATTAATCATAAACCCGTGACCCTCTGAAGTAAAAATGTTATGAATGAAAGCTGAAATGAATCACAATTTCCTCTTAATAATTGGAACTTTAATATTATAAAAAATAACATTTTGACCACCTGACCTAGCAAAGGAAGTGTAACTGAAGGTGTAAAGTATTTTTTGCTAAGATAAATATAAACATTTCTATTTTCAACAGTTCTTGAATCAGCACACATTATGCATGACAAAATGAGTAGTGCTGGTGTCCAGGCTGATCAAAAGTGCTCCTTCAGAAAAAAACAAAACAAGAGAAAGAAATCAGAATATAAAATTATTCTGATTTTGTGCTTGATCAGAATAAAAAGCCTTTATTAGAAGTGGCTATTGTTTTAAAACACTAATGTGTGTTGGCCAAAGGATTTTCATTTGGACCATGCAACCCACTCTCTCAGAAAACTGTGGTATAGTCACATTGGTCCACCTCTTAAACTGTGAGAATACCACAGTTTGAGAGGGGCGATAATTTCGTGTATGCATTTTTTTCGCGCAAAAGGACATACACGATTTGGACGTATTTGTGCTGATTTAACCTTACAGTCTTTGTCTAAGTTTTTCATCTTTTATGTGAGCTTAGAGCTAGGTATATAACTAAATGCCGCCACAGGGGGGGTAGAAATTACCATATTTTTGGTCTGTGGTTCCAAATAACTGTAGATCATAATCCCCTCTACACACCTGAATCAAGAATGACTTTCTGATTTGTTTTCGGGTGCCAACCTGGACCTCTGCTTGTACTGGACTAGAACTACCATCTATAAGCTGTTAATAAACCGATACAACAGTGGACAATACCAACTGAGTAAGCGTAAAGTAGGGCTAAATCAAAAATGAAGACAAAATCTGTGTTGTTATCATATTTGGAAGAAGAACCGGAGGCTGGATCAGAATGTTTGGCACGCTTGATTTGGCCCTTTAGATATATTTACAAGATATTTTTCTCCTGGTATTTGCAATGTCTGTAAAGAAGTCATCATACAAGTCAATATCAGTCTTTCTGGTAGGCTACGACAAGACAGATGTTGAAAAATGTACAAAAAAGAAGCAACGACCCAATTACTTGACCCTGTTTTCCCTCCATTCACATATTGCCATATAAGGTTTGTAAAAGCTAAGAAAAAAATCAGTAAAAGGGAAATCTTCTGAAGATCTTGCAAAGACAACTTTTAATTGATGTATGACGCCACTTGGCTTTGTTCCTGGGTATCAAACGAAAGCTTGACCTGTTTGCCTCCACGTGGCTTTCGAGACTTTCATTCTGCTCCATTTGAACAATCGGTGGATTAGCGAAACTATTGTCGTAGATTGCCTGGATTCCGAGCGTATTCCGTAAACGCGTGACTCTTTTTAAACTAAATCGTTGCGGTTCTTGAATGTAATTACCAGAAACCATGGCTGTTTGACGGTGTTGAGCCTAATCAGACTAAGCGGACATCAAAGCAGCGATGATTTCTTGCCTGTGCTTTGCTAGAAATGCGGTTCACAGACAGACAAAAAGCCCATTGGTAACGTAATGCCTCTATTAAAGCAGAATTGAGTTCAAGCGTATGGATCTTATCAAAAACCACCTACCTCTCCGTTGCAGAAACAGTAGATAATAGCCACCATGAAGCCCTGTGAAAAGGAGATTAAACCGTATTAGCACATCAATGTTTGTACACCGTATAAAACTAAGCTGATAATTCTCACATGCTAATTTCCATACAAGTCTAAATCCGACCTTCAAAAGATCAACAATCGCCAATGGAAAGATGTTAGCCTAGTTCGTGATGTATGTTGCAAAGGACTCATGAATTATGGAAAATGCTTGTATATGATCTAATACATTATGTTACACGTTGACATTTAGCTTTAACCTCTGTATGTGTGTGTGTGTGTGTGTGTGTCTGTGTATGTGTGTGTAGTTTGTACCTGAAAGGAGTTAAAGAGCATCTCGTAGTGCATCTGTATCTGCCACGGAATGCCAGAGATCTCAGTATACGGCATGGCATGAAAGACAATGTAATGGACGCCAAATAGGGGCATTAGGACCATGGTGGATTTTAACAACTTCCTGCAAAAAAAAGGACAACAGAAGGTGATATAGTGTGTTAGTCAAAAGTCAAAGTCACCTCCATCATGGACAACACCTCCCACTGCACAGGACTGAGGAGGGGCTGATGAGCTCTCTCAGTGGAAGACTGAGACACCCTCAGTGTAAGAAGGAGCGCTACTGCAGGGCCTTTATCCCCACCGCTGTCAGACTGTGCAACAAGTCACTTTAAGTCACTTGCATTAGGACTGAAAAACCTGCACAACTATCGACACTGTTTCTTGATTGCCACTTTTGAAATGCCATTTTTCATTGTATATAGAGCAGGGGTGCTCACACTTTTTCAGCATGCGAGCTACTTATAAAAGGATCAAGTCAAAATGATCTACCGACTACAAAAATGCAAATCATATATTTCAAAAAATATTCTTTATATCTACAATGTATGTTTATGTACATGCAAAACCGCATGAGCCAATATAGCACAACACAACACAATTATCTATGTACATTTTTTGTCATTTCCCGAGTTTACTCTTATGACTTGCACTGAATTGAATCGGCCAGGGATGCATAGTCCGGAAAATTGGTGGTAACTCGCTGACAAGTTTGTCGTGGTTTAGCTTTCCTGCACTGAGCGCGGTTGTTTGCGCATGTGCAGTCACCTAAGTGTCAGTAAAACATTACTGAGTAAAACACAGATGTGCAGTCACCTAAGTGTCAGTAAAACATTACTGAGTAAAACACAGATGTCATTTGACTGTGGTGCCATGTCCATGTGCCATGCCTGTTTTTTTTAAATCCAAATATTTCCCCTCCTCAATTTATAAAATAATTTGCATCCACACATCTGCGTTATCAATCACATTCGTAACATTCCAAACATGTGCGTCTCTTACGTCCTGTCCTGCGTTGGGGAAAAACACAGAAGTGGGCGGAGTTCTGATGCAGACGCCGGTAACGGCACTTTTACAGTCATAGAAGACACTCAGAGTAAAGACGTATGTTTACAAGCACTGACCCCGTCCTCAGCCCTGGTTTAGTCCTGGTTTAGTCCTGGTTTGGTTGTTTTCGAGCGTGAGTCCCCGCAATCACTTTGCTGCTCTCTGATGTGGATCGAGGATGTTCGCTGCTGCGAGCATCTCACAGCGAACAGTTTTTAAGGTAGTATGATCCATGCTTCAGTGATCAGAGGAATTTAGGGGGGTACTGTGACGTGCGAGAACGCAAAACTCCGGTTATCTCTGTCTACACACAAATGCATTAACGGAGTTTTCAAAAATCTCCACTTTGCCCGGAGTTTTTTGTATATATTCGTTTAGAATGTGTAATTTTTTATTTATTTAATGCGATCTACCAATACTACCTTTGCGATCGACTGGTAGATCGCGATCGACGTATTGAGCACCCCTGATATAGAGTATATATCCTGCATTTAACATGTTTGTGCATTTCTTTCTTTTGCACAATCTTGAGTGTTTCTATCCATGCCAAATGTGACATGTACATTTCTCCTGTGTGAGATCTATAAAGTCTATCTTATCTTAGCATATATTGTCATAAGGTTTGACTATAGACAAGAATGTAAAAAAAACTACACACCCCCAACCCTAACCTTTCTGGCCTTGTACTAGCAGTTCACCAAATACCATAAACTCAAGGGCAAGATAGTGTTTTAAAAATCTACTTTCTCAGTTTTCTTAAACGCCCTCACTTTGCAAAATGTTATGTCTCATTAACATTTTACCAATTGCCATTTTGTGAGTTTGAATCCAGGAGACCTTTAGGGAAGCGAGACCTTTCCGCAGTAGTCAGACATTCATCCAACCTTTCCCAAGTTATAGAGTCAATTGAAAAGTTATAAAGATACAGATGTTGATTAAATTGGTGTTTTTAGGGATTTATTTTGGGTGAGGATGTTGGAACATGGGGCTGAGGGGACATAGAACTGAAAGAATATTAGTTTTCAGCAAAAATAATAAATCAAAAATAGTCCTTGTCAAGCAAAGACGGTCATAGTATTAAAACTGGGGTAAAATTGGAGCTGGCTTTGTAAATGTATCCGTCCACACAAAGCTGAAAAAAGATTCAAATTCACTTGCGAGAAGTGCAATGTGAGCGCCTGATCTGACAAAGAAACGAGCGAAACAGTGAAAAACACCAAAACAACAACAGTGTGCTAACAGCTTAAACCCTGGATATACAGCAGGTGAAGAGAAAAACACATTTTGCATGGACTTATTTGAATAACTTTATTTATATATTCCCTTCATGACGTGTGGCAGTGGAGGATCCTGCAGTTAACCCTTTAGGCGCCAGAGTTTTTTCAAGAAAATATACAATTTTGATTTCAAGATTTCAAAAGGCTATAACTTTAAAATGGTTTGAGATAAAGGCATACTGTAAATTAGAAATATCTTCAGTTTGAACCAAACTTTGGGATGGAAGTTGATTCGTCATCTAATTTGCATATTGTGACGTCATCAAGGTGGCGGCCATTTTGGAAAATGTTAATTATTGTATAAAAACTTCAAAAAGCTGTAGCTTGGGAGTTTTTTTTAGATCAGGGAATACTATAAACAGTCAGTGTGAAATATCTTTAGTATGAAATGAATTTGGGATAGAAATAAATTCCCTGAATCAGATTATAGATAATGTTTTAGCACTGGTTCGCGGCCATACGGAATTGTATTATTTTCAAAGACCTTCAGTGATCAAGACAGCTCTCTTTATAGTTTACAGTCATGAAATCTGGAGTTTGGTTTCAATATTTCCCTTTCAAAGAAGTGGTGGGCTTACTATTTTTCTCAGTGGAAATGAGGCTCCTGGATTTATCGTGTAGAAACAGAGAGATGAAATGAATGGGCTCAGAACATGTCAGATCGTCTCAACAAGAAACAACAGGCTCTTCAACACTTCTGGTCCACTTTTGTGGATTATTTTCTCTCAAGAACTGCCTTGATCCTCATCATCGCTGTTAGTAAAGGCAGTGAACGCGAAAAGCGATGTGTTTTTTCCCCGCGGCTCTCCCGCGACTTCTCCCGCGTCTCCCGTGTTCCCCGTGGATGTTTACCCCCGCTACTTTCTCCCACATGCCCGGTGTTATGATGCCCCTGTCCCCTCGACCCCGGCCCCTGCTTGGCGTTCACAGAATGCTTCTACCGCGGCCACACGGAGGATAAGCAGCTGCTGTACAGGGGCTGATTGTGGACTATTTGGCGCGGTCTCCCCGTCACTAATAATGTCCGTGTTTGCTTCACTGGACACCTGCGTGTCTTCCTCCTCTGAATCTGAGTGAGCCAGTACCAGACCAAGTACTTCTCTGGTACTGAAGACCTCGTGAGTAAAAGAATAAACCCTCTTTCCTTCTGCTCTGCTCTCGCTCCGCTCAGCTCTACCGCTGCTGCTTCGCCTCCGCGCCGCTGCGCCGCAGGTGTTTTACGAACTCAATTTACTCAAAAACTTTCAATATAACCACACCCACAAATGTTGCTCATATTACAGGCACACATGTCCACTAACCCCTGGTGAAAAGTATTAACAAGATTCTGCACCACATTTTTACATACAGCCTGTTTAAGTGAGCAATGTTGCTTGTCGCAATATTGCGACTTTGGCGCTTAAAGGGTTAACATATTTCAGGTCGGTACAGGACACAGACTGACCTGAAACTTCAGTATTCAGCAAAAACACGGAGCGGCATACACAGTGATTTCACTCAAGACCAGCTTTTGAAAGGTTCACCGGCTCCGTTTAGACGATCACTGAATTTGACAAAATACTTTTGCTGATACAAATTAAATCAACTCTGTGTGCACTGGGTTTTAGGTTTTAGGTCTTCTTTATTATGCTAAAGTTACCAGCATTTTTTATTATGCTAAATTATATTTGCTTCTTTATTATGCTAACAAGAGAGATGTTGTACTTGCTTCTAAATTATGAAAAAGATAGAGATTTTATACTTGTTTCTGTATAATGCTAACATGAGATTTTGTACTAGCTTCTTTATTATGCTAAAGTGAATTGATTTTTTATTAGGCTAAATAAAAAAGCTTGTTTCTTCATAATGCTAAAGTGAGAGATTTTGTACTGGCTTCATTATTATGCTACAGTTAGAGATTTTTGTTTGTCTTTCGTTATGTTCTGTAATTGGCGATACAACACTGAAACTTCCCCACTGTGGGACGAAATAGAGAATCTCTTTATCTTACTCTAGAAATCTAACTTAAAAAAAAACACATTTCTTGTATATTCATCTTTCCAGTGGGGGAAGCTGCTTACCTGTACTGCTGCCGTGTGTCACACCTGCCTGCATTGGTTTCGCGCAGCTTGGTTGCTAACACCCGGATAATGTTGAGGAAAAGGATGAAGTTTACCTGCGGGATGCGGACACACAGAACATGTAATCGAGTAATGGCTGAGGCTGAAAATGAGACCTTTCATTCTCGGCACAGCGGGCACTCACCACCACCGCCGTCAGTATCGGGACTTGATAGATCCATTTTAAATTGCCCGCACTTAGGTCCCAGCACCTGCCAAACACACAAATAGATTGGAAATTGGAACGTAAAGCAATGCAGGTATGAAGACTTGTTGACTTGAGATTTGTTGTATTCGTACTAGTTAGAATTTCACTTCAAACGTCATGCAAAATGAATCTATACACTATAAACATGATACAACACAAAACAACTGCTAACAGCTTCTTCCCACAGGCTGTTAGGTGCCTAAACAGAGCATTTTAATTTCTGCTTTTACCTGCTTTTAAACTGCTTTTACCCCTTGTATTGTTTTGTTGATCGGTGCCACAGTGTCAGCTGTTTTTTTTTTATTGTTTTATGTTCAGTGTATGTGTTTTTTGTATTGCATTGTGTCGTGCTTTTGTTCTGTCGGTGCACACGGAGTGCCTTTCTTGCGAACGTATTCCAATGTGGTTTTTTTAACTGCACATGGCCAAATAAATGAATCTTGAATCTTGAATCTTGACAACCAAAAAAGACACAAAAAACATTAATACACTGTTCGAAAAGCAGACACCTATTTGGCTCTAGCCCCTCTCACTCAATCAACACAACCCAACACACAGGACACAAGCAAAAACACACGCACACACACACACAACAAGGCACAGGCCGAAACCCTCTCTGACCACACACCTAACCCTAACCCACTGCTTATTTCAGTACTTCAGGACTTCATCTTGGAAGCTTAGCACATTTTGAGACTGGTACTCCAATGTTCCATTGAAATAAACTAGTAATTATAGAACTTGGACTTGTTCTGCTGATGTCAAAGTTGAATTTTAACTCACAAAAGGCAAATATTTGTTGTTCTCTATTGTGATACATTAGGCCAAAGGATAGAGGTTTCCTGGGGCTTTTGTGTTGCCCAGCGAAATCACCAAAACTTTTCAACGCTAATAAAGATTTGCCAGGAAGAATGGGACAAAACATCAGCTTTTGAAGACCTACGGGAATTTTGTTTTAACCTCTGCCGTTATCTGCAAAGCTTACGTTTCAAAGTCTTGAGTTTATACCTTTTTGTTTTTGGCCAAGTACTTATTTTCTGCCCCATTAAACAAATAAATTGCCAAAAATCATACTGCTCATACATTTATTTCCGCATTCCATTTGTGAGACTACATGACAACTTTTTGGACTTCAAATGCTTCTTTGATCAAAATATTCACATACCGGGTTCTTCTATACCAGACATCGTCCTCATTAGTCTATAAAAATGACTTAAATTCAACTCAATTCAATGTATTTTTGTATCGCCCCAAATCACAGCAGTGGTTATCTCAGAGAACTTTAGAGTCGCCAGCACAGATCAAACACTTCTTATACCTCCATGCATTCTCCTTACACCAGCGGGCTCCGGAATAGTGCCCATAATTAGGGAACATTGGTGTTAAACTACATTCCCGCCTTCGGATCACTTTGTAGTAGTAATCTTTATTTAGTAGTAATCTTTATTTATATACCGCCTTTTCACTGCACATCGGAGTCTCAAAGCGGTTTACAATTGTTATTTTTGGGAGTGGGGGTGCCAGTACAGGAGGCACATGCCAGACCTATTGTACATATTTTTAGTGGTAGGGGAAACCGGAGCACCCGGAGGAAACCTACGCAGACACGGGGAGAACATGCAAACTCCACTCAGAAAGGCCCTGGTCCAACCGGGATTCGAACCCAGGACCTTCTTGCTGAGATGATCTCCTTTACAAATTGATACGCTTGACTCCATCTGGCTCCATCTCGCCGACTGATCCCAGACTTCAGGAAATGCAAACCTTTGGCCGGTTAATGTGATTTGACATAACAAGACTTTGAACTGCATCTGCAATTACTGATAATTAGTGTTTTTAGGCCGTCAACGAAGTCCCATGTAACCCGCTATCTGACAAATCCAGGTGGCACTGCTTTCAGCTGTGGGGATTTTAGTCAAACAACGCAAAATTTGTCCTTGATATTGTACGTATTGTAAGGGATAGAGCACTATTTATTTTAATTTATTTGTTTGACCATCAACAAAGGAGAAATCATTATTCTTCATATATGGTCTGACTGGATTGTGAAATGGACAAAATCTATGAGCCACATGTGTCAAAGATTAGAAGCAGGACAGCTCTTCCGATACATACATATTACTTAAAGAAGACATTTTATGCGTTTTCTCATTTCAAGAAACATTATAACGACACTTTTTACTTTGTCATTGAATTTTTTAGAATGTGAAAAAAATCATAAGTTGAAAATATTTGGTGAAACAAGTATGAAGGGTAAAACATGCTTTCTGCCTGAAGCTACCAACAGAGGGAGGTGTTGAATTTGAAAATTACTAGCTGCAAACACACACATGGTTAAACTACCTCTGCTCCTGTGACTTAAAGTGGATCACTAACAACCTCTACATAATTACTAACTTCCATCTATCTGATTGTAAACCGCACAATTTTTCTTGAGAAATTGCCAAAAATAAATGTATGGACAACACATTTGTTTTAAAAGGCAGAAAACAACCATGTGATGTCAGAGTGGTATAATGACATAGGAGCTTTTGGACAGAAAGGACACAGTTTCATGTTTGTGTCATATGATAGTAGCATGGATGGATCAAAAAAACAACTCCAGGTCTGTTTTCAATGAGGAACAATGGTGTAACAGGGTAAAAAAAAAAAAGAGTAAATTTTGCATAATATGTCTCTTTTAATGGTATTTTGATGGTGCTAATCCTTCCAAATGTCCCACTCCTGGCATGAATATGGAGCTCTCCGAATTAAACAAAAAGCATTTCAATTGCAAAATTTCTCTCAAAATCTCAAATCTTTCTTACTCTGTATCTGCATATGTCGCTCTTACGGTCGCCCAAACCGTCACAAACATGGCCGGTACTCCTGCAATCAAACACAATACCAAAAATCACGAATAAATACAACACAAATGTAACAATTCAACTTGTTCAGCTTTGATATTGAAAACAACCCCTTAAATAATCATGGGAGCACAGCATGATGGAGTGTCCAGTCGCTAATTTGAATTGACGTACTTTGCTTCAGATCGGTCCAAAAAAAAAAAAAAAAAGTGTAGTTTTAGAGGTTTGACTTTTGGATTGAAGACCTGGAGAAGGCGCCTCATCCACATTGTATGCGCTGTGCCGCAGTATGACACGCACAGTGTGTACAATGCAGGAGAGGCGCGTCCCGACTCTGCTCCTTGGGTTTGAACAGAAAAACAGCCTTTCGATCAGAATCAGAATATTTTTTATTGCCATCGTTTTAGGTAACAGGAAGTCATACACGAGCAATCTGCTTTGGCTCACGGTGCAAACGAGTTATACCTGTAGTTTATATAAGATGAGGGGCTAGCATACAACGCAATTCATTTCAAGTTTCATCAATCGAGTTCTAGAAGTCATTATGCTTTGTGTTCATTTTGTCCCTTAAACTTGATCTTGGAAAAAATGACTTTGGCGAACCACCTAAATTTGAAACGATAATCCATTTTGTCCACATATAGGCTGCACTTGAAAATAAGCCGCAAGTTTTCATCTCTCACAATGGAGAAATTTACATTGACAAGGTGGTTAGCAGCTTAAACGTTAGCTTCCACGGCTGTACTCATTCATCTATTTTGACAATAAACTACAGTAGCTACTAAAAGTCAAAATAATAAGTCCATAAACTCTGTTCTGACAACTTTACCTCAATAAAGATACACGTATTAATCGCATTACTATATAAGCCAAAGAAGGTTAAATTAAATATTAAAAAGTAGTGGCTTATAGTCTGGAAGTTAGGGTCTATATTTTTCATGCTCACACTAATTGGGTTATGTGTGAATATTTTCAAAGACGTATTTGACTTAAGAATAATGGAATAAAGTGATTAAAAGTGAAATTCAAATTCTTTCATAACTAGAGCGTCCAAAGAAGAGTTGCTCCTGTTCTGAGAGTTCTGCCTGTTCTGTGTGGATAAAAATAAATGTGCATTACCATAATGTGGACTCTGAGAAAAGCCTTGTCAGCTTTTGGTTTGTTCTGTTAACGTGAGAGTTGCAAGTGAAATAAACTCAAGGAAAAACAGCCATTTCTGTTTAATAAGCAGCCGACGTCCTCACTTCAAACGTATGCAAAGATAGAGATGAATGATTTACTTATTATCGGTCAAACACATTTGGGTTCGGTTGCACAGACTCTTGGATGGGGTTGCCATTTTAATTTTCTTTTCCTCAGTGACATAATAAGCATTTACAATACTGCTCAAAAACCTGAATTTCCTTCAGAGAGCACAGAGAGGTCCACAGATATGAGCTGTGTAAAAGCATCTCGAGTTGAAATGTCACACAGAAAAATATAAGAAAATAACAAAATGTTTTAGCAAAATAAAATCAAATATTGTATTTAATTCAAACGTATTTGAACATTTTGAATGCAATTTGTTTTGAATGATAAGTTAATATAGTACCGGTAATCATCATGACGGACCTAAATAAAGTACTTCCTTATCAACACCATACTGTGGTGAAGAGTCCAGGAAAAAACGAAAAATGTTGCATGTTGTGAAAAAAAAAGCGTTTTTAAAACATGAAACATGAAACTAATGATATTTTTCCTCACGACAAAATAAATACATAAACAAAAGCTTCTGAAATCCAAAAAGACAAATTGATTAAAAAAGTTTTGTCTTGTGGAAATTGGGTCATGTGAGGTCTCTATAGTTCTACTGAAACGGCGGAGGCCATCTAGGGGACATCCTGATGCACACTGTCCCATTTAAATAAGTCCACACCGACACAATGCGTGTACACAGATAAAACAAGAATCGAATCAAAAACGGCAAACATAACTTGGTCGGTATTATGTCCTTCGCGTAATGCCTTTTGTTCTACCTTGATCGATGCGACAGAGATGTGTGCGTCCACTCACCCCATCCAATCAGCGTCAAGCCGCACAGGTATTTGCGGTCGGAGAAGAAGGTCATGAAGATGAGGCTGTGCAAGTACAAGCCCTCCACCAGGATCCAGTAGTAATTAGTGGCCAAGAAGTAGAGGAACAACGTCACGGCAACCTTACAGCCGATCTGCGGAAGACAACACCAACCCACGTCAATTAGCAAGAACGGAGAAGAAACAAATCTCACATCTTACACCTGTGCTATACAATATTCATGGGTTCTGTATTTTCTGGGTTAATCCACATCTTTGCAGGTGCTATGGTCTAATACTAATAATTATATTTCATTTTATATCTTTCTAGATACTCAAGGTTGCCTGACACCACAAGCAAAAAGTATATTTCGTTAAAATACAGTTGTATTACAGTTACAAATAGCATGAAAATAGGATTAAAAGATTATGATGTTGTGTTGTTTGTGTTTTTAACTGTCTAAAAACAAGATTTGTCAATGAGACAATCAAAAATGTCTTGTTTAAAAAAGATACAAGAAAATTCAAGAAAGTCAATTCAAAAGTAGCCTGGCCTTATCCATCCGTACTCTCTGGTCAATCATCATTTGTCTGCATGTAACGTCTGGATCTGATCCCTGTGTTTGCGATTACAATTGTTTGAATTCCAGCCGACCAATCAGGGAGCGCGGGAGGCGGGTGTTGTAGTTAGATGTGGGTGAAGTCAAGAACGGGCAGGTTGTGGTTTGGCAATGGCGAAGAATGCGATAGTAAAGTAATCCGGTCTGGTTCTATCGAGAAATTGCAGCCGGAGCAAGAGGAATGTTTAGCAAATGTGATGGTTAGGCTAAATGCTAAATGCTAACAACTCACTCGGGCGCATTACATACGTCACGGTAAACTCAGATCCAATCGTTTCAATCTGCAAAAGGAGTTAACCCCTCCCACCTGTAAACGGAGCTCAAAGGAGCACCTCCAGACCTTAGTACGAAATGTAATTTGTACGACCACAGGAAGGAAAAACTCAATATATAAAACCCAGTCAAGCTCATTTCAATTTATGTTAGTTCACAACAGCAGTCGTCTCAGAGGACTTTACAAAATTGTCAATTTGCCAACAACAGATCGCAGAAATGTGAAAATATAATCACATCGAAGACATTATTCCACGAGGAGCGGGATGACCAATGTCCATAAATGGTAATAAATGTGCATAAATGCCTCTGAATGTCATCGGCAAGGAACAAACTCAGCTGGGAAATTCTTTTCGAGAAACCTCCGGGAATCCCAACATGAAAGCCACCTATTAGCGAGCGAGAATATGCCAAGAACAACTTCAGACTAGGGAAAAAGAAAGAGCTCACATTAAACTGTCACAAAGTTCCACATCTTCTTCAGTACGTATCAACTAAGGTCTAATTATTTTGTCTTGAAGGTGTCTAAAGTGAGGGGAATATTCAAAGTACTTCATTATGCCTGATGTTGGCCAGTGGAAAGGGCTTTCAGGTGTAAGAATAACATCACAAATCATGTCTCGTTCAGTACTTCTTTAAAAAATTGCTTCTTTCCCCAGTGCCGGAGTTGTATCGGCACCTTCCCTCAAACTGAACACGGCAACAATGATGAAATATGAGTTCATAAATGCAGTTTTATCAGTGAGCTACTTGACTTTTCTTTGTCTTGATTTCAGAATTCAGGCCCAGATTAAAATAAAAATCCTTGTTGAAGTCCTCCACAGTCTAGCCCACTTTTCTTTTTCACTCGTCAAATGACTCTCTGTGCAGTCCCAGATCCTCATCACTGTTCAAGTAAAACTTAAAATGGGAGAAGCTGCTTTCTCCCGAGTAAGTAATCTTTATTTCTATAGCGGATTTTTACAGACCAAGGTCACCCAAAACTTATTTTCTCTCAACACACGGTGATGACGGAAACCCCAACCAACACCATCCCTTCATTCATACCTATTGTAGATATTTTTAGTGGTAGCGGAAACAGGAGCACCTGGAGGACACCGGAGCAGGGATTTGAAAACTCCACTCAGAAAGGCCCTGTTCCGCTCGGGATTCGAACCCAGGACCTTCTTGCTCAGAAGCGAGAGTGCACACAGCCACCACGTCGCCCAAATGTATTGGTATCTTGGTATCCTTACAATGGTAATCAAAATATTTCTGATTCTGAAGACTTTTTAGAATTGTCTCTTTGATGGATTATGATTGTTGCCATTTTTTAAACACATTTCATTCCTACCTTTCTATATTTCCTCCACATGCATGACCAAGTGCAGATCTGCAGAATTTAGGATTTCTTGACCATTTTCAGAAAATATGAATGAAAAAAACGTATGGACTTAATCAGGACTGAGAAAAGTTCCGACACATTTGCTTCATCCCAGTCCATGGTTCGGTCTATTGGAAATCTTTTGTAAATCAGCTGTTGATTAATTTTGTCGTTGATTAATCTAACAATTATTCTTTTGATTAATTGATAAGTTGTTTAGAGCACAAATTTCAGGTTTTATATTAATGTTACCCAGAGAAAGCTAAATTGCAGCCACTGAATGACACCCAATTAGACTTTTATCACTAATGACATATTTACACAATCCTTTTTTTCATGTAGTGATTGCTTTGTTTGAAATCATAAAATGACTTTGGATATACATGTGTTGTGTATTGATCAGTTAACGATTCATTCATCTCTAAAATAGTTGTTAATCATAAAAAAAAAACTCTGAATAGATACGATTAATCATTTCAACTGTACAGGAATGTGACCACTCTGAATAAACTGTATGTAAAAAAAAATAAAAGAAGAATGAGATTTTTTTCAACTAATGTTTATTGATTGGATGAAGTACTTTAGGGTCAAGTATCATTACGGTTTTAATCCGTTCATGAGCCCTATTTCTTTTGGAATTATGATTTCAAAAACACAAACCAAATGGAATGGCTTCTTCCCATTGCCACCAGGTGCTTGACATTGTGCATGCGTGATTTTCTCATTAAATACAGCTCCAAAGCGGCATCTCCCAGACAAAGTTACAAAACCTAAAATATCACATGCAAACTGAGACAAAATGTGGTCTTTGCTATTTCGTACAAAATCACTTCAGAAATGTCACACTTTTCACTATACATTCAGTCGCTCTTTTGACCTTCTCCTTCAGCTCTTACAAAACCAATTATACAACTTTTAAAATACACTCACAGTTTTTGCTCCTGGCTTTTTCCAACAGAACACAATGGAACTCAATTGCCTTTGTAAAAAAAAAAATGTTTGCACCTGTGGATTCCCCAGTGGTTCTGGTTCTATTTGATTGGGGCGAATGCACAGAGGATAAGGAGGTGTCCGGTGTGAGGCGAGAGATGCCAATCCAAACGGTAGCGCACAACATTCAAAACATTAGTGTTGGACGATACCAAACCTGTTCCAAGTACAGAACGACATATTTGCTTTGGCCGACTCATTGAAAATACTAATATTTATCAAAGCTCTCATTATTTGTTTCTTGTTTGACTAGGCCCGTATTTTGTGTAGGACTTTTAGTTTGCTTATAATCTGCAAAATGAAACCACATCCACTGCCATTTGTCACATACCCTCATGCTGCTAACATGTACAGATATACCTAGAATATATATTAACGACTTATTAACCGAGCAAGCGAGGTTAATAAATGTTTTCTTATATGACTATTTTTAATTTATGCAAATATCGATCGGTTTCAACTAGCAAAAACACATGCTACCAAACTGTCAAACCGTCACATGGAGAACTTGCTTATCAGATGATTGAGGTCGTCCGCTGGTAAGTTCTCAGTCTCTTCTGTGTCTTTACCGATGCTTTTTAGATATTTGTTAAGTATGTTCATGTCCAACTTGGTTTTCCTGATCATGTTTTTACCTTTCTGGTCTGTAACAAAGTTGTCAATCTCTTCTTGACTGTTAGGAGTTGTATATTCGTCGTTAGTACTTCCTCTGGCTCTTCGAACTTGTCCGTATAATAGAATTCACTGGGAGAATGCTCCCAGTCCCAAAGATATCAAATCTGATACGCGCTGCGGACCAATTGTTATGGTAACTGTCTGAGATGGAAAAATTTCAGACCGCAAATCAGCAGATCAGAGCGCGCGTATGATCCAAGTCATATAAAAAAAATCTATATATATCGCAAAACTCTAGACGTCTGGTAGTTCCTAAAGATCTCAAAAAGCACTGTCGGCTGCAGAGGATATACATCCTAGCTCCTTAACTCATTCACTGCCATTCGCGTCTATAGACGTCAATAGCTTTTTTTTTCTTTTTTTTCTTTCTATGGCTCGTCAAGGCTCTTGTGCATCCTGTGTCAACATTTCAGACCTGTAAACACTGGAATCGAGCCTGTAGGGGGCAAAGGTGACACTGTGGCCAGATCCAGGGAGGGAGAAGGGGGCATGTGGTGCTGTGAGCGGGTAACAGCCAGAGGAGCAGCCATGCTTACACAAAAGGACCGCGGATCTGAGAAGCTCACGCAGCTAACGCTGTTTGAGAGCCTGTTCATTCATCAAACGGATAAATATGAAGCAGCTAGATGCCACGAGGCTAGTTCTTCAGGTTTTAGTTAACCTCAGAGACTCCAGGATCCTCGGAGCCTTCCCCCTCCCTCCTCGTCCAGCAGCAGCAGCGGCGGCAGCGGCTCCTCCCCCCGTCGTAATGTGGTAAGTTGCTTTTCACTTCAACATGTTGCATTTACGAGTTTATTTCTCCTCTTTGTCTAATGTAATAACAGTCCCTCCAGGATTTTGCGCGCAAATTTTGATTGATGAATGATTATTGCGGGGTAAAATGCTTGATTACGCGGGACATTTTTCCAAAAGTTTCCCTGTTGAGTTTGGAGGCGTGTGAATCTGGCATGCAGCATTAGCTGCCAGGGAGCTATGGATGATGTTACCGTGTGGTTTATAGAAGGGACAGGGGAAGGTGATCCATGGCAGACCGGTGAGCAGGTCCCATGATGAGTAACAAGTGTTAGATTTACCGCACCATGTTGTGCATTCTGCACCAGGAGCGCGCCCGCTGCTGCTTTGGAACAGGGAGAGAGAGACTGACTCTGTTGCTCTGATCTCAGAGTCTGCATGGTTTTGCGTTCAAACATTGAGAGATTCTGGAGGGAGTGACTATAGCAATCACAGGCTTATA